TATCATTGGAATATTTAAAGAAACACCCTTTCAAAATTAGATACGCCAGACAAAAATCTATTAGAAATACATCAATATTTAAGCATTACATTTTAAAACACTTATTTTTTATTTCGACTGGTATAACAAAACTTTCATTGTGAAGTATGGAACTTTTTTCGCTTAATCCACATCAGCACGTAAGGAAAATTAAGCTGATAACTAATCATTAAAAGGTTATTTTTAAAGTTCAAGTTCAGTTTTCAGAATTTTTATTTATAGATGGATAGTCTTTCGTTTCGTAATAAATAATTAAATGCATAAATTATGACATTACATTAAGAAAAATGACATAAAATTCTTCACGTGCTTCCAATCAAACCAAATCAACGCAAAACACTACAACTTAATCAATTAAAGACCTGTTGGCAGGGTAATCATTACCAGCATCTGTTGCTCTTACCGATGCTACTTCACAAGAAGCAGGTCTTAGCAAACATTTATTTGTTTCTGAGAATGTATGTAAATTTTAATCGCCACTTGATACTCGTTATGAAAGTGGCAGTTGTCAACATGGAACTAAATATTTTAACTAGAACTATTACTAGTCCAATGAAATTACTTTAAATTGTAAATAAGTATTAAACAAATAATGAATATGCAATTGATCCGCCGTTATAAAAAGATAACAACAAAATATCAAAAAACTACTACCTGAAAGATTGCTGATCGGTTTCTAAATTGAAGTATTTAAAATTATGTTTTCTTTTTCCCTTGATCCTTGACAAATATTCCACGTTTGATGACCTTTGATCCTTGAAAAATATTCTGTAAAAAATCCAAGTTTGATGATCTCTTGATCCTTGACAAATATTCCACGTTTGATGACCTTTGATCCTCGAAAAATATTCTTTAAAAATCCAAGTTTGTGATCTCTTGATCCTTGACAAATATTCCACGTTTGATGACCTTTGATCCTTGAAAAATATTCTTTAAAAAATCCACGTTTGATGATCTCTTGATTCTTGAAAAATATTCTTTAAAAAATCCATGTTTGATAATCTCTTGATCCTTGACAAATATTCCACGTTTGATGACCTTTGATCCTTGAAAAATATTCTTTAAAAAATCCACGTTTGATGATTTCTTGATCCTTGACAAATAATCTTAAAAGAATCCATGTTTGATGATCTCTTTATCCTTGAAAATATTCTTGTAGAAGTCCACGATTGATGGCATCTTTATCCTTGACAATATTCTTTAAAAAATCCACGTTTGATGGTCTCTTGGTCCTTGAAAAATATTCTTTAAAAAAACCACGTTTGATGGTCTCTTTTGACCCTAGACAAATATTCCTTAAAAAATCCACGTTTGATGGTCTCTTAGTCTTTTACAAATATTCTTTAAAAAGTCCCCGTTTGATGGCATAGTAACAGCAAATTTAGTTCCTTTTGCAAGTGACAACTTACAATAATAGTTGTAACATAAAAAATCTTGGATAAATATTGAGCAGGGTCGAAAATTGAAATTTGCTTGTTACAATTTAAAAAAAAAATGAAATTTAGGAGAGAGGAACTGATATAGTCTGTCTTCGAACGTAGAATATAATTTTTGACATGTATAAAAAGGTTTATTTGTAAGTGGAGAAATATGGCTATGTTTACCAGGGGTAAGTCAGGAATACCTTGGTTTCGGAAAGAGCCACCAATCCTCATAAGTTCGTCCAATCCAAAATTCCAAAACATTATGTTTTTATTTGGAATCTCAAGTCTTGTAGCTGTTTTTTGAATTAAGCAATGGTTTTGATATTTAGAAAACTAACTGTAAGAAACATCGAATAAGTCAACCATCAACCGGATCTGTATTAATCCAGAAGGGGTTCGCAGAAATATATTATCTTTACAACAGTTCTTGCGTTAGCAAAAATATGTGTGAAATTTGAAGAAAATTTCAAATTCTTGAACCCTAAGTGGGGGAGGTAACAGAAGAAATGGTCCACTCCCTCCCATTTTTATAACAAATCTTGTGTTGATAGAAATATTGAGATGTATCAAGTCCAAATGGAATCGAATGTTAATTTCCAGTTGAGTTTCATTGGTATTCAAAATTTTGATCCTTGTGTGGGGGAGGTATCAGAAGGAGTGTTCCGATCTCATCCATCTTTATAACTGATCTTGTTTTGATAGAAATATTGAGATGTGCCAAGTCTAAATAGAATCTAATGTTTATTTCGCGGTTTTTGAGTTTCATGGGTATTCAAAATTTTGACTCTTTCTGGGGGATGTACCAGAAGGAGTGGACCGATATATTCCATCTTCACAGCAGATCTTGTGTAAGTATAAATAATGTGATGTGTGAAATATGAAAAGATCCGGATGCTTATTTTAGATTCTATTATCGTTTTGGTAATTCAAATTTTTAACCTTTTGTGGGTGAGGTACCAGAAAATGTTAACCTTTTTTGGGGGAGGTACCAGAAAATTTTGCCCCTTTGTGGGGGAGTTACTTAATGGAGTGGACCGACATTGTCCATTTTCGCACCTGACCTAGCACTGATGCAAATATAAGGATTTGGATAGTTGGCGCAAAATCGGATTATCCCTTCCGATTTTGTCGGCCTTTTGTGGGCGAGTGGACATATAGTGTCCATCATCTAACTCAATCTAAGTTTAACAATAATATTACGATGTACCAGGACCAAATCGCATACTCTATTCGAGAGTTATCGTGTGCACCAGCCAGACAGACAAACGAGCGGACGGACATCGCTAAATCGACTCCAAATGTCCTCAAACTTATTTGGTCCAAAGAGACCTTGTGTCTAAAATTGTTATTTCGATGAGGCAAGTTTTGGCCGTATCAAATTATGTATACCCTCTCTAGCCATATGTCTGAGGGTATAAAAAGAGCCATGTTTAAATTTGCTAAATTTTACTGGCGAGTGAAACATATTCGAGCGAATGGAAGTAACACTCTTAACTCTTTTATAATAATCAGGGGCATTTGTAAATTACTGCTGATTGAAAATATGAGTGGGAGCAAAATGCTCGAAATAGAGTAAGAGTTTACTCTAGCAATTAGGATTACTCGAAGAGTTAGAGTTATTTACGGAATTTACTCCTCAAATGTTGTTTTGTGTGGCAGAGTGCTGAAAATTTGACAGAAGAATTTGTATTGTGGGTAGGATGATTGCTATTGAAAATTATATATATAGGTCCACGTTTTGGTATAGCCGCTATAAAACGGTACCTCCCGATATTCGGTATTATGATGATTTTTGCAATATTTTCACGGATTTGTCTAAATATTGGTATTTGTAGTTCATAATGGGTGCTGGCTACGGCGGCAGAACTATGAAAATGCACGATTTTCTATAGCACACATATAACGATACCCACCGATATTCGGTATTTTGATAATCCTACTTACATTTACCCACGAAATTGTTTCAAATTTGGTATTTAAAAAGATTTGGTAGATGACAAGCCTTGAAGTATAAAATTGTCTAGGGAGGTTCCCATTTTTTTATGGCCCCCATGTAATGGCCTCACCCACTTTATGTTTTTTTAAGTTTAGCAGCATTATTGGTCTTACTGGAATTTGTAGTTTAAGGTGGAACAGGTTTAAATTCAGATACTTTTATAGGAAAATTTTTTCTTTACCCACAGGTATGAAGAGGCTACTAAGAGTTTTATACGGCCGAACTCACTGCTTTTACTTGTTTATACTAATGTTGACTTTTTGTACTAAATTGTACCGTTTTGGAAACTTTAAGTCTTTATTGATATTACAACACATAGGCCAAATATTCGGAAAGTGATTTCATGGTAATGTAAAACAAAAATATAACCCTTTAATCACATGTTTGATATTAGGACATCATTTCTATTCTGAGACATAGATAGCATTCGTTCATTTTTTCCATTAATATTATTTTTAGCCACTTTACTTACCTATATTTAGGTGATGCCAAATATGTATAGCAATTCTAAAAATAGAAAAAAGAAATAGAAAGTGAGACTGTTCTGGAATTAAACGTATTTAACGGTTTCAATCTATTATACGAAACTTGTTTTTAATTACATATGTTTTTATTTTTAATTAGCTATTAAAACGTCTGCAGAACATTTTCTATTAAAATCAATTTATGTTTCAAAACAGGGAATAGATCAATAATAATAATAATAATCGGCAAAATTTTAAAATTTTGAGATTTGTGATATTTATCTCGTTATTATTTTCATGTTGATTAAATGTTAGTATAGCAAGTCTTCTATTAAAGTATTTTTGTTATTTTTGTATTTTTGTCATTTTAGATAGGTGTAAAGAAATTAGTAAAACCGGCTTTGTCGAATTCTTAATATATTCCAACACAATGCATTTCTTAATAATTCCCTTTGGATGCATTTCTCTTGAAAAAAAAAATTTCAGTCAACATTATCTCCCCCTTTCCTTTGGTTTATTAGAATTATAACGGCAGTTTGCAAAAAAAAACTTCAGATTGCCTTTTTTCAATTGTAAAACTATCTACAACGAGATATGTTAATTTACTTCCAGTAGCTCTTCTTTAAATGTGGGCTAAGTATAGGAAAAAAAGCACCAAACTTGATTAGCAGACTTGTTGTACCTGATGTCGAATTAAATATGCGTTTTAATTAAATAATTTATTAAACCATTAATATTAAGCAATCGTTTCTTTTTGTCTAGCAATTTAAGTAAATTAAAATCAATTAAAAAACTGAGTACTCCCTCCTTTGAATTAAAATAAAAAATTCGATTGCAAAATAATTAAAATACATTCGTCTTTGTAGCATCCAATGATTTACAACAAGCCGTCCCTGTCTAATGTTCCAAAATTCGCTATCTCTCATCTAGAACAGCAGCAACATCATCCGACACCAATAACACCAACAACCACACCGAACATCATCTCCATATCTTAACACATCAGAGAAGCATCAAAGACACATCTCGGCCAAATCCAGTTTGTGAATTGAGTCTAGTATAAAAAGCCAAGTTGCTCGCTGCCAATTAGCCAGTCGTTCTCATTAGTGTTCTCAAAAAAGTCAAAACGACAAAATTAATTCCGAATCCAAGATATCAAAACTAAAATGTTTCATTTCAAATTGGCTATTTTTGTGACACTTGCCGCCGCCACCTGCCTAAGTGTGAATGCCAAATTTCGTAAGTTTCGCCGGAAGTGAATTATTAACATATAAGTGTGAGAAAATTTTCAAAATTCGAGAATCTATTATAAATTAATAGTGCGAAATGAAAATATTCCGTTGCTATTACAACAAAATTTGAAATTTTGAAATTTATGTGGATTATTTGTTTTGAAAACTGGCAAAAAAATTTATGTCCAACTTAGAAAAATGGATAACAATTTGTGAATGAAGAACTGAAAAGGAGTCTATAGAGCAGCTGAATATGAATCTATAGAAACGCTGGTTCACAGAAGAACTGAATAGGGGCCAAACAGATGTTCTATAGCCGAGGTGAATAGGGTCTCTCTAGACGAGCTAAATTTGAATATGACTCTGTAGAAACGCCGGTCCACAGAAGAGCTGAATAGGGGCCATATAGACGTTCTATAGACGTGATGAATAGGACCTCTAGAGACCTTCTATAAACGGGTCGAATGTAGAAGGTGTTAATTGGCCGTCCACAGATGAGCTGAGCTGCATAGGTGGATAATAGGCGAGCTAAAGTGATTAGGTCATATATAGACGAGCCGAATTGAATAGGTCGTCAATAGGCGATCTGAACTGTATATAGGCGAGCTGAAGTAAAAAGGTCGCCAATAAAATGAAGAGGTCGTATATAAGCGAGCTGAAGTGAATAGGTCGTCCATGGGCGAGCTGAACTTAATAGACTGTCAATAACTAAGCTGAATAGGTCGTCAATAGCTGAGCCGAACTGAATGGGTCGTCAATAGGCGAGCTGCACTAAGTAGGTCGGCAATACGCGAGCTGAACTGAATTGGTTGTCTTTGAGGCGCTGAACTAAATGGGTCGTCTATACGCTAGCTGAACTGAATAGGTCGTCAGTGGGAGAAATCTTCTATAAACGAGCAACAGAGAACGCTCCACAGCCGAACTGAGCCGCAGGGAGCTCTCTATACTTGAGTTGAGGTGAAATGAGCTCTCTATAGGTGAGCTGAAGCGCAGGGAGCTCCAGAAGCGAGCTGAAGCTGAGGAGAAGAGAAAGGGAAGGGAAGCGAAGAGGACTCTCTATAGGCGAGCTAAGGCGAAGAGAGCACTCCATAGGTGAGATGAAGCGTAAGGAGCCCTCTATATGTAATTTGAAGAGTAGAGAGTCCTCAATACACGAATTAAGGCGAAGGCAGCCCTCTAAGAGAGAGCTAAGGCGAACTGAGTAGAGTAGGCGAGCTGCACTAAGTAGGTCGGCAATACGCGAACTGAACTGAATAGGTCGTCAATAGACGACCTGAAATGAATAGGTTGTATATAAGCGAGCTAAACTAAATAGGTCGTCAATGGGCGAGCAGAACTGAATGCAGTCATGCTGAAGTAAAGATGTCGTATATAACCGAGCTAAACTGAATAAGTCGTCAATGGGCGAGATAAACTAAATAGGTCGTCAATGGGCGAGCTAAACTGAATAGGTCTTCAATGGGCGAGCTAAACTTAATAAGACGTCAATGGGCGAATTGACGTCAACTGAACTGAGTAGGTCGTCAATGGGCGAGCTAAACTGAATAGGTCGTCAACGGGTGAGCTGAACTGAATATTTCTTCTATGGGCGAGCTAAAATCAATAGATCGTCAAAGGGCGAGCTGAACTGAATAAATCGGCAATGGGAGAGTTGAACATAATAGGTGGTATATAAGCGAACTGGACTGAATAGATAGCAAATAGGTGAGCTGAAGTTAATAGGTCGTCAATGGCAGAGCTGAGGTGAATAGGTCGTTAGTGGGCTAGCTAAACTGAGTAGGTCATCAAAGGGTGAGCTGAACTGAATAGATCCTAAAAAGGCGAGCTGAAGTGAATAGGTCGTCAATGGACGAGCTAAGCTAAATAGGTCGTCAATGGGCGTGCTGAACTGAATAGGTGGCGAGCTGCACTAAGTAGGTCGGCAATACGCGAACTGAACTGAATAGGTCAGCAGTGGGAGAGTTGAACATAATAGGTGGTCTATAAGCGAACTGGACTGAATAGATAGCAAATAGGTGAGCTGAAGTGAATAGGTCGTTAGTGGGCTAGCTGAACTGAATAGGTCATCATATAAATATATCGTCAATTCGCGTGCTGAAGTGAATAGGTCGTCAATGGACGATCTAAGCTGAATAGGTCGTCAATGGTCGTGCTGAACTGAATAGATCGGAAATAGGCGAGCAAAACTGAATAGTTCAAAAGGCCAACTGAAAACTGAACTGGAGAGCTGAACAGTTTGTCTTTAGACAAACTGAATCGGTTGTCTCCAGGAGAGCTGAATCAGCAGTCTCTGAGGTCGTCTCTATACGAGCAGAATATGGAATTTTGCGTAGTCTCTAAAATGGGGAAAGCGGTAAGATTTCAGGGACAGGGAGAAACAATTTCACAGAAATTATCCTTCAATGTCCTTCAAGTATCCATTATTTTAGATTTCTAGAATCAATGTGAATTTTCAATCTAAGCTGCACTATTTCCAAGACTCTGTCTGCCCGCGTGAGTTGTTGTTAAGTCAAACATATCTACTTGTTTAACTACGTGTCAAGCGAATAGGAAAAAAACCTGATTGCCACACTAGGTATTACACATCAATTTGATTAATTAATTTACAAAAACTATATGTCTTAGTTGATTATAACAACATAAACAACAAATTATTGTTCTGGGGAGTAAAGTTTACACCCAATCATTTTGAGATAATTTCACTGCTAATTATTTGCACAGTTACAACGGAAACTGGATTTTATTGAAATTTTACCTTAAACTGGATTTTTAATTGCGAGAATTAATTCGTTTCTCTCTACGTTACAAGTGCTAACAATATCTTCCTGAACTCAGCAGAGTTTCAACATGATATTGAGAATAAAAAAAAAAAACTTGTTTTATGAAATCTTGGCTATCTATTTATTTAAAAAACGTATTAACATAAATGTATTTTGTCTCATTCAGCTGATGAACCAAAACCATGTCAGTATGGCGATGCCGATTGTATTTCCAAGGCTATGGAATATTTTCTACGCCAAAAGAACCAGGGAGAGGGTTCCATAAATCTAATTGCCATCGATCCATTGGTCATTAAGGAAATCAGCATTAAACAGGGAGCCGAGAGTCCGGTCAACATCGATCTGCAGTTTATCAACAACAAATTGATGGGTTTGAAAAATGCCAATGTTGTGAAAATTAAGTGAGTCTCCTAATTTTTTTATTAAAAAATTTGAATTATTTAAAATAATCTCCATTTCAGGGGTTTCGGCAAGGACCTAAGCGAGAAACATGAAATCCATCTCTCCGTTCCCGAAATTGAATTGGCCGGCAATTACAAGGTAGATGGCCGTATTTTAGTATTGCCCATATCTGGTAGTGGCACTAACAGCATTAAACTATGTAAGTTTGAATATATCACCTTCTTTGATACCTTTTTTATAATGTTCTTTTGTTAATTCTCTCTTTAGCCAATGTCCTCGTGAAAATGCAATTTGCCGGTGTCCCAATGGAAAAAGATGGCAAAACCTACATGAAAGTTGAAAAATTCCGCATGGACTTGGAGCCCAAAGGCATGCATTTCAAAATTGACAATCTTTTCAATGGCGATAAGGCCTTGGGCGACAACATGAATTTGTTTTTGAATGAAAATTGGCAGGACATCTATCGCGAGTTGAGAGCATCCATAACATCGGCCTTTGGCAAAGTTTTCCACACCGTCATCGGTCATGTATTCACCAAATATCCTTATGAGGAATTCTTTGCCCAATAAAATGTGATATTAGTTAGTTGTAGGAAATAAATAAGTATTTTATAGGAAATTGAAATAAACGGCGTTTTGATTAAAACGTGCTGGGAAATATTGGAAACAAATATAGGTGGAGAATCTATGAGCGAGATGAATAAAAAGGGATTGTGCGAACTAAAAATTGAGCAAAAGGAGGAAAATTTACGAGTTGAAACTGGAGACTAACAATCCTAAAGTGGGAATCTATAAATGACGTCAATAACTCTTTTATAGAGGATTCGGAAGTCAGACGGAAAAGTCTGAAGAAAAGTGTGCCTGTCAACGATCTGAATAGGGGGTCTATAGACGAGGTGAAAAAGATGTTAAGACAACAGAATAAGAGTTCTATAAACGAGCTTGATAGAAGTCCATAGCCGAGCGGAATAGGGACTCCATAGACGAACTCAACAGTGAATCTAAAATTATCTGAAAAGGAAGGTCATAGACAGGCTGAATTGAAAGTCCATAGACAAGATGAATGATCAGTCTTCACGCGAATTGAAGGGAACATTTTATAGGCAATATGACAGATAAGCTGACGAACTCTATAGCTGAGTTGAAAGGTCCCTAATGCGAGTTCTATGAAGCTGAAGCCAAGAATGGGAGCGAACGGTGGCGTAAGAAGTTCTCTACAGGTTACCTGTAGCGAAGAAAGTCTTCTATAGGACAGCTGAAACATAGGGATTTTTTTTATAGACAAGCTGAAGCGTAGGGATCCCTCTATAGGCGAGCTGATACGAAGGAAGTCCTCTACTGGTTACCTGATGCGTAGAGAGCCCTCTATAGGCAGGTTACTGTAAGCAAAAAGAGCCTTCTAAAGGCGGGCTGAAACGAAGAGAGTCCTCTATAGGGCAGCTGGAGCGTGTGGAGTACTCTATAGGAAAGCTGAAGCATAGGAAGTCCTCTACAGGTTACCTTAAGCGAAAAGATCCCTCTATAGGCGGGCTGAAGCGAAGGGAGCACTCTAAAGGCGGTCTGAAACGAAGAGAGTCCTCTATAGGGCAGCTGGAGCGTGTGGAGTACTATATACGAAAGCTGAAGCATAGGAAGCCCTCTACAGGGGACCTGAAGCGAAAAGAGCATTCTTCTATAGGCAGGCTGAGGCGAATAGAGCGCTCTAAAGGCGGGCTTAAGTGAAGAGAGTCCTCTATAGGAAAGCTGATGCACAGGGAGCCCTATGTAGGCAAGCCGAAGCGTAGGAAACCCCCTACAGGTTACCTGAAGCGAAAAGAGCCCTATATATGCGGGCCGACGCGAAGAGGGTCCCCTCTCTAAAAGTCAGCTGAAGTGTGTGGAGCCATTTAAAGGCAAGCCGAAGAAAAGAGAGTCCTCTATATGTGGACCGACGCGAAAAGGGTCCCCTTTCTAACTGTTGTGAATATAATCTCCCTAGACGAGCTAATGCGAGTATCCACAGGCGAGTTTTTACTAGTATCCATAGGAAAGCAAAGGGTTTCAACGGAAGAACTGTGTGGAGTCTATAAAGACGAACAGAAGAAGTTGAGAGGTGTCCCCTTTTTAACAAGCTGAAAGGAGTGTTGTGCTAAATAAGGACTTCAATGGAGTTTTTTTAGAATGAACATAAGAGGCCCTTCATAGACGATCTCAATGGAGTTTTTATAGAAAACTTCAAGCTAGTCTTTATGTGGACATGAAGTAAATCTTTTTGAACGACTTGGGGAGTGTTTATTGGAGTCTTTGGGAAGTCTTTATCGACTCCAAAATGAAGACAAAGGGAATCTTTATTTCCGACCTGAAGGAAGTCTTTAAAGGCTATCATAAGGATTTCTTTAAAAAAAAATTAACCAAAACTTAGTCAATGTTTAAATAAGAACCATAAGGTATATAAGTCTCCCTTATGGTTCTCATTTTCCGCCTTTTTGGAGACCGCCATGGACATAATGTAAGTAATTCTAGACGTTCTAAAGAGAGTGTTGTAGATGACAACAAGGTGTCTATATAGGCGATTACAAGGGAGCCTTTTAGATAACCTCAATGGAGACCAGGTTTTTTTTAAGATGATCGGAGGATTCTTAATTGCGAGCTGAATGGAAACATATATAGAGGAACAGAAGGGGGTTTATATGAGGTTTTATAGTAAGTCTCAAGAGAGTCGTTTTGGATGAGCATAAGAGAGTCCCAATACTCTTGCAGGTCGTCTACAAACACGCCCCTGAGGACGCCTGGAATAACTTACCTTAAGTCCATCGAGGTCTCCATTAAGTCTGTAATAAAAAAACGTATATAAGGCTCCCATAGGGTCCTTCTTTAAGTTTTGGTCCCTAAGTTGTGGTTAAAATACACTTGCTTCGAGGTCTCCAATAAGGCTGTAATATGGGAGAATTTATCGACTATCATAGGGTGTCTTCTAGACACGCAGATGGGAGCTGTACGGGTGATCAGAGGGGAATCATTGTAAACAACCTGAAGGAAAACTTCAGGTAGAAAAACTGGCGGTCTAAATAGGGTTCTATAGGTCTGCTGAACTCCCTTCAGGTGATCCCTATATGGAAAACAAGAAAGGATATATATCGTCGACCACAAGGTATTCATATAAGAAGTTCAGAAGAGGCTTGTCTGGAGGGTATCTCTTCAAACGAATGTTTATTACTAAATTCTGTTATCTAATAATCTTCTTTAGATTCAGGAATAAATTTATATTCATTTGTTAAGTGGAAATAAGTTTATAATCCGACTACAATAGGTTCTGTCAATTGCTTGTCTACTTTATCAATTATGATAAGTTATTTACAAATCTTCGCGATAAGCTTGGATTCTATTGAATTTAAATTTATTGAATAATTCCTAATGGTTATTCACAAGAATCGTTTAGGATGAGTGATTGATTGAATAAATAAATGTTACAAACGAGTATCTGACAAATGCGTCTTGTAAAAGATATTTGAATTGCCGGAAGCTGTTCACACTTAGGGTGACTGCTGCAATGGTACCATTCGGTAGCACTTTCAGTCATGTGTATTTCCCTTGATGGAATGTATTTCCCTTGATGGAATGTATTTCCCTTGACGAATCAAAATCAAAATATTCCGCAACGAATAGCTTAATGTTTGTTCCTCATTAAGAACGAGACTTCATGCACGCCCTTCTTCCTTCGGCAATTTCTGTTGACTCTTCATTGAATTGATTTATAATTCTTATTCGCAATTTATTCTCTATTTGTTTCCAGTTTCATTAGATATTTTTGACATCTTTGTTCTGTATTTAAAAACTTAATCCTATGAGTTTTTTTCAACATAACACATTAGGATAGCTCCATACATATTAATTTTAGACCCTATGGCTATTAATTCTTCAATTTATAAATACCATAATTTCCAAAAATGTAATGTAAAATTTTCAATAAAAGATAATAACTATTTTATAACCTTATTAACTTTTTTCCAATTCATCAATTCGGAAGTCCAACATTCTCTCCCAACTTATCTCCATTATTTATTCATGCGAACAGGAAATCAACGCTACAGCCAGCAGTGCGAATTGTCGATGAACTTGGATTAGAGCAAAAAATTGAAAACTTGCAATTCTCAGTGGAAATATTGCAAAATAGACAAGTCTATAAAATGCCGCCACTATAAAAGGCTCTCTAACAGTTTTGTAACACGTTTCGAATTGTGCGGATTGTCAGGCAAAAAAAAAAAACAACAACTAACCGAAATAAAATAGCAACAATGTATTTTAGCAATTTTGTAAATATTTTGATTTTATTCGGCTTGGTGACAGCGTGGAGTGCTGTGGCGAACGGTGCCTTTCGTAAGTGAATTAAGGAAATACCAAGCGGAATTGTGAAAATTAAGGATATTTAAAATCGATTTCTCACCGGAACGGATGTGTACAAAAACCACGTACTAAACATGTGTTCTGCAAAATATTAACGTTCCGAAAAAAACATGTGACCAATATTGAAACAAGGATAATGAAACTGATATCAGTCTCGAAGAATATACGATGATCGTAAAAACTTAGCCCATGAATCGTTTTGGAATAGCTGAAATTTAAACGGCAATTTAGACCTTTTAATTGGACTCAAAGGAGTATTGCTATAAACGGTCTGAAAGGAAATATCTATAGACATTATCAGGTCCTTTTTGGATGCCAATCGAAAGTCTTAATATTTTTCCAAATTTAGGGCCAGAAGTGAGTCCAACCCGACCATTTCTGTACCTAAAATCTAATCTCTATACTCATTTTAAACAGATAATGAAGAGTCTGTCCTCGACGAAGCTTTAAAGAAATCCTCATAAGAATGGAGAAATTTGATTTTCAGCCTTATTCTGTTGATTATAGATTATTGAGTAGCATCAAAAATCCAGACCTCGAGATCGGAAGATTAAAAGGATTCGAACCATTCTGGTCCTCAATAAAAGCGTTTTTCTAGACTTATGTATAGAACCCCTCCTTTTCAGCTTTAAACACTCTTCAGCTTTTTTTGAGAGGAGAGGATACTTGCTTCTGGACTTCAGTAAATTCTTCATTCTAGTTGTTCATAAATATGTCCGTTCAGTCGGCTATAGATTTTGTTTATTTTTTTTAAGGAGGAAACTTTCTTCGGCACTCTTTAGGTGAACTCCCTTAAGCTCATCAATGGAGACCCACTCAGCTAGTTTACGGAGGCTACTTCGGCTCGCCTATGGAGATTACATTTCAGCTGGCCTATAAAGAAAACTACAATTAGCTCGTCTAGAGAAGAGACTCTAGAGAGAAGACTCCCTTCAAGTAGAGGATACTGCCTTTATCGCTCCTGAAAATCAGGTTGCCAACAGCTCTTATAGAATGGACCCTGCCCTCAGCTCGTCTAGATTAGGGACTACCTTCAGCACGTCTAGTGTGGAATCTCCCTTCAATACGTCCCCAAAGGAGACTCAATTTAGCTCATCCCAAGAGGAGACTTTCTTCAGGTAGAGGAGACTGCCTTCATCGTTTCTGAAGAACAGGCTGCCTTCAGCTCTTCTAGAGATTCCATTCAGCTCGTCTCAAAATGAGACTTTCTTCAGCTCATCTACAGTGGAATCTCCC